GAGGGATGCAAGGCTACCCTGGAGGAATGGGGGTGAGTCTGTGGGCATCATCGCTGCACTGTGTGTGTCAGTGGGAGTGTACAGGTGTATCGTGTCAGGGTGTGTGTGCAGGTTTGCTATCATGTGTTTGTAACTGCTATGTGTAAGTGTTTGTGTTGGTGAGTGAGTGTTGTGGTCATTGAGCGTCATGTCTCACTGTGTGGTGTATCAGTGTCGTCAGTGTGTCAGCTGCGTGTGTGTCAGCGAGCATGTCTCTTGTTCTACTCTGTGTGGTTTATCAGTGTGTCATGTCTTACTCTGTGGATGTTACTCTGCAGGGCGGAATGCAGGGAGGCATGCAGGGCTACCAGGTGAGTTAGTCCACTGAGTGGGATGGGTCTGAGATTTCAGCTCTGAGAGGGAAGAGTCAGACAGCGCAGCTCTGCATGTGAGGAGTGGATCTGAGTGGGAGGAGTCTGAGAGGGCAGCTCTGAGTGGAAGGAGTCAGCACAGTTCTGTGTGATAGGGCTCTGACAGTAAAGCACAGAGTGGGAGGAGTCTGTGGGTGTGGTTCTTAGTGGGAGAAGTCTAAGTAGCTCTGACTGGGAGGGACTTTCCTGGCAGCTCTGAATGGGTGGCTTTTAACAAATGCTACTTTTGTAAGCTTTATTTGCTGTTAGCTTACACAAACTTAAGTGGTAATTGTAAGATCTTCCCTTGCTCCTCAGGGTGGCATGCAGGATTACCCCTGTGGTGGTATGGGTGGCATGGGGGTAAGTGTTTTCACGTTCGGTGATATCCAGGTGCCAACCAAGGTGCCATCACTTTCTGTAGTAGGCTCAGTACCACCCTACCTCCACAGCCTAACATATAGAGTTCTATAGGGATGAAGGCAACCAAGCCACTCTTTTCCCCCACTGTTTCTAAATCATAATCATTGCTTGAAAGTTACATACAGTAACTTTACAACTGTTACTTTACACAGCAACAGAAACACTGTATTGCATCTCGCGTGTCTCCTGCTCCCTGCATGAGGGTCCCACAGCCAACCTCAGTGCCCAGTGTTCCTGTACGCCTCAGTATTCCTCCTGGGCTGTGCTGTGGAGCTCCAGCCTCTGGCTGAGCCGCCCAGAATCTGTCCTCGTCTTTTCCCTCTTGGGCAGCGTGTCATGCCGTTCTCCTCTCTTCCTCAGGGCGGCATGCAGGGCTACCCCTCTGGTGGCATGGGTGGCATGGGGGTAAGTGGCAGCTATTCTCTCTCAATGGGAGTCCTTCGCCCAGCAAGCTGGCACCTGTTTATAATAATCCTAGTTTCTTACACTTATACAGCGCTTTTCTGGACACTCCACTCAAAGCACTTTACAGGTAATGGAGATCCACTCCACCAACACCAGTGTGTACCCCCACCTGGGTGATGCACCAGTCCTCTCCCCACACACCAGCTCTCAGTGGGAGGAGAGCAGAGTGATGGAGCCATTTCAGAGATGGGGATTATTAGGAGGCCATGACTGGTAAAGTCCAGAGGGAAATTTGGCCAGGACGCCGGGGTTAAACCCCTACTCTTTTTGAGAAACACCCTGGGATTTTTAATGACCACAGAGAGTCAGGACCTCCGTTTACATCTCATCCGAAGGACAGCGCCTTTTTACAGTATAGTGTCCTCGTCACTGTACTGGGGCATTAGGACCCACACAGACTGCAGGGGGGTCGCCCCCTGCTGGCCCCACTAACACCTCTTCCAGCAGCGACCTTAGTTTTTCCCAGGAGGTCTCCCCTCCAGGTATTGGCCAAGCTCACACCTGCTGAGCTTCAGTGGGCAGCCAGTTGTGAGTTGCAGGGTGATATGGCTGCTGGTCTAAATATGTTATATGTTCTGAAAAAAATCTATAATGAAGCCAAGAAACACCCAGCCCTTCTAGTCCAGCCTTGAGTTAGCGTGGAGGGCTTCATGCTGGATTATCATGCCCGTTGCCTGTAAGGCCCAACAGAATGACTGCCATAGAACTCAGCCAAGGGGGGAGCAGCATTTCTCAGCCACTGTCCAGTCACAGTAACCAGTGGGCTTCGTCTGTAGGTGGGCTTCTGGTAGGATGTGTTCTTTAAGCCAGTCAGAAAGCAGCAGTTTTTGTTTCAAATTTAGTTTAAAAATCTTTTTTTTTAGATGTTAACTCTTGAATTTCAGTATTTTCCTGTTACCCTGTCCAGTACTGATGGTTTTGTTTTGTAGTTAACACGCTTCTTTAGTTCATATATAATTGTATAATATGTTTTACTACCCCAGGTAATACTGGTGCTGCTGTTTGTTTTGTGCATCAATGTGCGTGAAGACTTTGTGTTCTCATTGCCAGCATCATTGTGTAGTATTGCCAAACTGTAACACACTCCTTGTTCATTAGTGTGTAGCATTCCTCTCAGGCTCTGTGTTATCTTGTGGGTCAGTGTTTAGTATTCCTGTATCCTGCTGTTGTGTAACACTCCTGTGATGCCAGCGTGTAATACTCTTCTGTGTGTTGCTTTTCACAGGGAGGCATGCAGGGATACCCAGTAAGTATCAATCTCCTTACAGAATGAATGTCCCCTTTATCCAAACTGCCCCCTAAATGTACCTGATCACTGAATTAATCACTCAATTAATAATAATAAACTTTTTATAAAGCATCTTTAAAGGTGGCTTCTCAAAGCGCTTTACAGAATGACAACAACAATAAATAAGAAGAATACACAAGATAAAACACAATTGCAGTACACAGAGGAGACTGTGGATGGTGGTACTAAGTATAGTAGGAGCAGAGGGGTGAAGAATGGAACCAGTTCAGTAAAGGCTCTTCTGAAGAAGAGGGTTTTGAGTCTAGACTTGAAGGAGTTTAGAGAAGGTGACTTTCTGATATCCTTGGGGAGAGAGTTACTGAGCTTGGGGGCATAACAGGAGAAGGCCCTGTCACCCATAGAATGTAGACGGGCTTGGGGGACAGTAAGGAGGGCAGAATTAGAAGAGCGAAGGTTGCGAGATGGGGAGTAGGGCGATGATAGTTCAGACAGGTACTGAGGTGCCAAGAGCAATTAAGAGCAACACAGTCCACCAGCTAGTTACCTGCTAAACCCACACTGGGCCCTTTAGTCAGAAATGAAAATAGCAGCCTGTGTACCAGCCACGTTCCTCATGTACTGTACTGTACTGCCTAACCAGGCTGCATGTGTCCTGTTAATGCGGCTGCAGATACTGCCTGGGACTGTTTCACACAGACCTGCTGCTGGCTGTGAGGCATGAGAGTGAGCCGAAAGCAGATCGCAGACAGCAGTGTGTGGTGCAGCTTGGCATCATGCAGGGTCTGATACAGATGCACATCCTGTGTGCATCACTGAGGCCATGTCCACAGTAATACTGCAATACTGTAATACTGTTTCTTGTGTTCCCCCTCAGGGAGGAGGAATGGGGTACCCTGGGGCTAACCTACCGGTGAGTATGGAGGGACAGGGAGGGAAGGAGAGAGAGATGGTGGGAAGGAGAAGGAGAGAGATGGGGAGGAAAGCAACAGAGGGACATGAAGGGAAAGAAGGAGCAGATTCATTCTGAGCCTGATGTCAGCAGCACTGTCTGATGGACCACCTTCTTCCTCTCCTTTGTAATCCTAGATGATCAGTGGAGCTCCAGTCTACAACCCGGTGAGTACTGTTGCGTATCTGTGTGTATCACAGCATCTAGCATACCTCTGTTTGTGAGATAATGGGCAATAACGGTGCAGTGTGTATTGACTGCACTGTGATCTTGTGTATTGTCTATGTGGTGTGTGTTGATTCTGCAGTGCACGATGTTATGTGTTGAACGTGCTGTGTGTGAGTTTGTCCAGTGACGGAGCAGCATTTATGTTGTGTACTGACTCCACTGTGCGTGTGTCCAGCCCATCCCGTACTCCAACATGATCCCCGGAGGAATGACCCCCAAACGTACCATCATCATCAGAGGCATGGTGCCCTACGGAGCCAACAGGTCAGTCTGCTCCCGAGGCTGGGCATGAGTGCCAATTCCAGACTAAGAAAAACACGTGCAGCAGAGGACATCATCAGATCCAGTCCATGTTGGAGCCTGGAATAAGACAGCCTGTGGCTTTCCAGCAGGAATAGATCATATCACACTGCATGCGTTGCTTGTTTCTGGAGTGGTGGGGGGCTTTACTGCTGGAAATGTCGCTGCAGGTTCCACATGAACTTCATGGTGGGCTTCTCGCGGGACATAGCCTTCCACCTGAACCCACGGGTGGCGGAGGGGCTGGTGGTGAGGAACAGCTGCCTGGGCGGCTCCTGGGGCCAGGAGGAGAGTGACCTGGAGTTCAACCCCTTCCAAGAGGGACAGTATTTTGAGGTGAGCACACTACTCCATCTCTACTCAGAAACTACTTTGCGGAGCAGCACTGGTGCTGACCTATACACTTATTACACATCGCTAATCTAGTCTCACACTGCGCATGCACAGCTCCTACCTTTCTCACACACTCACAGGTACTGTCCGCTCTCTGGGGACAGAAAGCAGGGGCGTCCTCACACACAGAGTAGTAGGTGTCTGAAAGAAGTACATAAAAGTGGCTGGCTCAAGGCTGTTGAAGCTCTGCTCCTTTGTAGTCTCTTGCTGTAGTGTAAATGTGCAGTATGCTAAGTGAGTGTAGAACAGTGTTGGTATCAGCAGTGTGACATTAGCAATGTGTGTTCAGCAGTATGTGTTAATCCCTCTCTCTCTCTCTGACTCAGATCTCGGTGCGCTGTGGGAACCAGCGGTACAAGGTGTTTGTGAATGGGCAGTACCTGTGTGACTTCTTCCACCGCCTGCAGCCCTTCACCCAGGTGGACACCCTGGAGGTGGAGGGTGATGTCCAGCTCTCCTACATACACTTCTGAGCCGCCAGTCCCCTGAGTCTCAGAGGCTCTGAGACTCCCTTTCCTCTTCTGGAGTCCCCGATTCTGATTCCTCATCCTTCTCCCACAGTTCCCTGTATCCCTGTCCTCCATCTCTGTTCCTCTGTTCTCTGATTCCCTGTATCCCTGTTCTCCATCTCTGTCCTCTGACTTAAATGGTGCTGAGCAGTTATCCGACTGACTCCCTGTCAGTCTCTCCCCTCCTCTCTTCACAGACCAGATTCTCATCATTACAGGGTCAGATGCCTAATTTTACATTGTAAATGTCTTTTGTCTGCTTCCTTTTTAAACTGAATAAAGCATATCTAGCTGTGTGTCATGTTTTTTGGTTTGGTGCAGTTATTTTCTGTCTGTTGTGCCAGTGATTATATTGTAATCAAAGAACATGTTTTGAAATCTGCAGTACATCTCTGAAGGTATGCAAGACCTTTTGACAAGGCTTTGAGCCTCAGTTTCCTTGTGAAGACGCACAGTTGAAAGTGTATCAATAATAAATAACTTTATTTTATATAGCACCTTTAAAGGCAGCTCCTCAAAGCGCTTTATAGAATGACAACAACAACACACTGAGATACAGTGTGTGATAGTGTTAGTGTGTGATAGTGAGAGACAGTGTGTGACAATATTAGTGTGTGATACTGAGAGACAGTGTGTGATAGTGAGAGACGGTGTGTGACAATATTAGTGTGTGATACTGAGAGACAGTGTGTGACAGTGTGTGATAACAATAAAAAATACACAATATATGCACGATTAGAATACACAGTGAAAGGAGACAGTAGATGGGGTTACTTAATACAGTAGGAGCAGAAGGGTAAAGAGCAAAACCAGTTCAGTAAAGGCTCTTCTAAAGAAGAACGTTTGGAGTCTGGATTTGAAGGAGTTTAGAGAAGGTGACTCTCTGATATCCTTGGGGAGAGAGATTCAGAGCTTTGGTGCATAACAGGAGAAGGCCCTGTCACCCATAGAGTGTAGACGGGCCAATAAGCACAACTTCAGTCTTGCCAGTTTAGATGAAGGAGATTTTGAGTCATCCATGTTTTTACGTTGGAGATGCAATACGGTTATATATGAAGAGATGTAGATTTGAGTATGGTCTGCATAGAAACGATAGTTGAGGCCATGTGATCTTAAAAGCTGACCATGTGGAAACATGTAAATGCTGAAAAGGGGCCCAGTATCAATCCCTAAGGAACACCAGACTTAACGAGACCAATTTCAGACCTAAGTCCGCCAAGAGAGACAAAGTGACAGGGATCAGTGAGGAAAGACTTGAACCATTTGAGAGCAGTGTCAGAAACTCCAAACAGTCTCAGGGCGAGAAAGTAAGATGTCATGGGCTAGTGTTAAATGTTGGACAAGCAGGGAGGAGGTGTGGAAATGATATGAGTTGTGGAGAGAATGTGATGCCGGATGTTGTCGATTTTGGAGCTAAAGAATGTGTTGCAAAGTTGCGATGTGGCAGGTAATGTGGTGGGGCTGTTTGGCTTTAGAGAACTGTTGATGGTGGAGAAGAGATGTCTGGGGTTGTTATGGTTATTCTCAATGATGTGAGAGAAGCAGCTGGATCTAGCAGACTCTATCGTATCCTTATATCCAGACAAGTAATCTCTCGAAGCCTGATCATGTACGTTCAGGCCAGGAAGATGCCACCTACGCTGAAGTGACTGGGAGACTGTCTTCGTTGATCGCAGATGGCCAGTGTGCCAGGGGGCACAGTGAGAAAGAGATGGTTTGAGTTTTTAGAGGAGCAAAGGTGTCGAGGGTAGATAAAAGAGCACTATTAAGCAAATGTATTTTGTCCTCTAGGGTCAGAGGAAGAGAAACAAGATAAGGAGGATAGAACAGAATTTGTGAACCTAGGCTGTGTGTTGTGATGGCACTATTTTATTAGATCACAGTGGTCAGGAGAGAGAGGCGGGAGAGCGGTCTGCGTCTCTATGTTGTTCAGTCCATTTAGCGATCGGTGTTATTTATACACTTACGTTATTAAAGCCTGTTAAACGTACTGTATATACGCCTCCGGATTATCATTCCTACGCATGACACTACAGGCTGATCAACGGATCGCTCGTTGCGAAAATGTACGGAGCGTGACAGATAGTCTACGAGCACAGTGTTCTGATTTCTAATTTGCAGATTGTGTAAACATGCTTACACCATGCGTTTATTTCGTCAAGTTGTGCTTTCTGTGTGTTTTTGTAAAGTTTTGGCTACGGAGACCCTGAAACTGTGAGCACCCCGCGGACACAGAACTGCGGGCACCCACTGTCCCCACTGAAATAAGGAGGCAGTGACCCCTAACCTGGAGAAAGATGCACAGATCATTTCACTCCTGACAACTATCATTTTTACAGCAGCACATTTTCAATTGCTCTGCATTAAAATACAGCAGTACAGCAATGGCAGGATTAACTGTAGTACTAGCTGTCCATGGTCAGTCTTTCCTAGAGTGCTGTTCTGTAATTTCTCTAATATACATACAGAAACAGACCATTCCAATTATTACAAATTTTAAGATTTCATGTTTTTTTTTTGGCTTATTGTCTCCAGTATTAGTCAAATGCGTTGAGAAAGCTGAAGAATGAGGCAGGCAGTCAGGACGTCGCTCCGCCCTATCGCAGCACTACCGCTGTACCTCCGTGTTGCTGCCCTGTGAAAGCACAGCGCACGGTCTCTGTCCGCGCAGGAACGGCGGTGCAGTTTGTCCTGTACGGAGACCCGTAGGAGGAGGGGTCACCTGAGACAACAGAGATGGCCGTTTCCTTGCTGGTGAATTCACCCTTCAGACTGATAGGAATAAAGGTAAGTTTCTCTTAGCAGTAAAACATTTACAAACGCGTATGTTGGTCTCCGTCTAGCTTCGCTGTTCGTTTTCTTCAACAGCTAACAATTGTCCTGTAACCAACTTGTGTTGACTTGGTTGTGTTGACGTTCGTGTTCTGACAGCCTCGGTGCTTCTTGTAATTGGAAATGAAGTGTTTTGAATTGTTTGTCGTTTCCCAGTGTGAGCGTGTTTTCCCCACGATCTTGCCCAAGCTAGGACAGCACTGGCTGGCCTGGAGTGTACAGTCAGGTGTTCACTGTCCACTCCAACACCGTTTCAGAGGTAACTTGAGGCTCACTCAGTCCCTTGCTCCAGCTGGCAGTGTGCTCATCGGTCATTTCCCTGTTGTCCGGCTGGGGGACCCGTCTCTCTGCCATTCAGTCAGCCCAGACAGTGCATTTGCTTGACTTTGCCGTGTTGTCGCCTTTCAGTCATGGTCAAAGGGGTGTGTAGGAGCTGTTGCCAAGCGATGCTGCAGCTCCTCGCCTGTCTCCACCCCACCCCCACCCCCATCCCCTCTCAAGACCAGAGCCGTCGTCTTCCTATCCAAGTACTTCAATGACGTTGAGTGGCTGGTGGAAAGGACCTCTGCCTTCAGGAGCTGGATGCAGAAGTTCAGGTAACAATGTACTCGACTACACACACAACACACCCTGACACACATTCTAATCACACTGTACTCGACTACACACAC